GTATATGTTGATGACATTGTCATTACAGGTAATGATGACCAAGGAATTGCCCAACTCAAGGAATATCTTTTTAGCAAATTTCAAACAAAAGACTTGGGAAAACTAAAGTACTTTCTTGGTATAGAGGTTGCACAATCAAGAAATGGAATTGTGCTCTCACAGAGGAAATATGCATTGGATATTCTTGAGGAAGCAGGTATGTTGGATTGTAGGCCAGTGGATACACCAATGGATCCAAACGTCAAACTCGTGTCAGAACAAGGTGACCTCCTGCCCAATAAAGAGAGATATAGAAGGCTTATTGGGAAGTTGAACTATCTTACCGTCACAAGACCAGATATTTCATTTGCTGTCAGTGTGCTTAGTCAATTTCTTGATAAGCCATGTGATGGACATTGGGACGCAGCTATCCGAGTCTTGAGATACATCAAGAAAACTCCAGGACAAGGATTACTCTTTGAAGATCGAGGGCACCGTGACATTGTTGGATATTGTGATGCAGATTGGGCTGGATGTCCAATGGATAGACGTTCTACTTCTGGATATTGCATTTTGATTGGTGGGAATTTAATTTCTTGGAAAAGTAAGAAACAGGATGTGGTTGCCAGGTCTAGTGCTGAAGCAGAATATCGTGCCATGGCCCTTACTTCATGTGAGATATTATGGTTGAAGCATCTCCTCCAAGAATTAAAATACGGAAGCATGAAACCCGTCAAGCTAATGTGTGATAATCAAGCTGCAATGCACATTGCTTCCAATCCGGTGTATCATGAGAGGACTAAACACATTGAAGTTGATTGTCACTTTATACGAGAAAAAATCACAAATGGACATATTACTACTCATTATGTCAAAACAACAGATCAACTTGCAGATATTTTAACCAAGTCTCTTAGAGGACCTAGGATGCAATATATTTGTAACAAACTTGGTGCATATAATTTATATGCTCCAGTTTGAGGGGGAGTGTTGAAACCCTAGTTGTATTGGGCTAAGCCCAGCTTGTATAGTAACCCTAGTGCTCTAGTTTTTGCTATAAATATAGCTACTTGTATAGTTCTTCATATTAAGATTCATTATAATGAAATACATTTCATATAATTCACACTGTGCAAGCCAGCCTCGCAGATATTCTGAAAAGAATTCCAGATCGTTCGCGAAGTAGATCGCATGCCTCCGCTGCATCGCATCGCACTTCACACCATGGACATGCCAGAAATTCTGAGGGATCAGAAGGTAATTCCGATTATTTTCTTTCGCATCAAGAGCATCGAACTGGAGATCGATCGAGGAACACTAGGCATCATCCGCGATATGAGAAACAAAGTTCATCGCAGTCACTCAGCAATCGGAAAACTGAGCCGCGAACTATTTTCCCTCGTTCGCAATCGCAAACAATTACTTTTAGTTCACAATCACAAACGGTTTTGCTCAGTTCACAGACATCGTCGCTAAGCGAGCAGGGTCAGTCTCAATCGCAAGATACTTCTTCCGGTCCTCTGGCTTCGACTCGAGCAGAAAACCACAGTTCGAAATCTCTATCTGAGTCCCCAGAGTCGCAGCAGGAGTTGGTTAATCAGCAGCACACCTATGGCGAAGAGGAACACAATAAGAAATCTTCAGTTAATCTTGAACCTGAAGCTGGAACAATTTTTCGTTCTTTCACTTGTAACAACCCCTGCAACTTGAATATCAGCAGCAAGGATTAGAGTTCTTTAAGAGAAAGCGAACTTCCTTCTTCTGACAAGCAAGGATGGAACCAAGAAATTATGGTTGTTGTTCTCGGTAATGCAGGAGCTGAAATTGTATTTCCGATCACAAAGTGTTACTTGGTTACTGTGTTGCTTCATACCAGCAAAGATTATGACATTTTAAGGACAGCTTGGGTTCTTCCACTCTCTGTTTCAAGAAATCAGGTGAAAATGGGCTCTCCTTTTAAGGAACGTGCAATGGCAGAGAGATTTTGGTGGAGTCTTTCTATGGGAGTTGTTTGGTGGAATGATGTTGGATGTGCTCAAAGTGCGGCAGAGGATGGCATTATTTCGCTGAAAAGTGTCATGGCGGTCAATCAAAACTCAAAGGGAGAAAAGTCAAGGGGAGTTCAAGCAATTTTTAGTTCAAGAATTTCTGATGAGCAGATTAAAGTGGTTGAGAATCCTGATGTTCAAGGCATGAACACAAATTCTGCTATTGGTGTAAGTGATACACCATATGAAAGCATGAAAACCTTTGTGGCTATTGAAGGCCTGAAGATTAAGGAAGAAAATGAAACTTCACCGGAAATACTATATGCTGCAGAAACATCTGTGAGTTGGAAAGATCAAGTACTGAAGCTCCTCGCTCAGAAATCAGTGAGGTATTGGGAAGGTAATAGCCCCAGGATGAAAAGGAAGAAGAAGATCATGGATGTTTCCTATCATCCACCTTGAGGACAAGGTGGTTGTTTAGAGGGGAGATATGTTAGGGACCCGGTAGAATAAGAGTAAATAAGAAGAGTAATAGCTAGAGTAGTATAAATAGAAGGGGAGTGGGTAATAAAGGGAGGCTGTTAGACTGCTAAGTCAGGACTGGGAAGATTAGAGTTCTAGCTCTATCTTTTGGAGGCTTCGGCCATTGTAGCTCTGCGTGAATTCAATAAAGCTTGAGAAGTTCTTTTGAATTCTTCTGTGATATTACTGTGATTCTGGTGTCTCTAGCATACTTAGGGCATATTATCAGTTCTAATGGAGTTGCTGTAGACCCTGAAAAGATTAGAAGGATTATTGAATGGCCAGTACTTTCTAATCTTAAAGCATTAAGAGGCTTTCTTGGCATGACCGGATATTTCAGGAAGTTTTACTTTCAATATGGGATCATAGCTAAACCATTGACTGACTTAACTAAAAAAGGGATGTTTAAATGGAGTGAAGCAGCTCAAAAAACATTTGAGGCACTGAAAGAAGCAATGTGTACTGTACCTGTTCTGCAGTTGCCTAATTTCACTAAGACTTTCATAGTTGAAACTGATGCATGCTATGAAGGACTGGGAGTTGTATTATTACAAGGACATCCCTTAGCATATATAAGCAAAGCTCTGGGTGTCAAAAATTTAGGGCTGTCCATTTATTAGGAGTTTTTAGCTATACTTTTAGCTGCTGAAAAATGGAGAGCCTATCTGCTTCATGCACCTTTCATAATAAGGACATATCAGATCAGTCTCAAGTATTTGGTTGATCAAAGGATATCCACTCCTATTCAACACAAATAGGAGTGGATGATGCCCTATCCAGAAGAGACCAATCAGATCCTCAAATAATAGGAGAGTCCTTAGCTATTTCAGTTATTCGACCTGAATGGCAAGAAGAACTGATTAAAAGCTACAAAGGAGATAAGGAGACTGAAGAAGCTATGTTTCAACTGATAACTATTCCTTATAATATGAGTTATTATTCATATTGCAATGGAATGTTGAGATACAAAGGCAAGCTTTATGTAGGTTCATCTGGAGATTGGAGGAGTAAAGTAGTAACTATGATGCATGCTAGCTCCCAAGGAGGTCACTCAGGAATATTAGTGACAATATAGAGGGTAAAAACCAATTTTTGGTGGCCTCAGCTTACACAAACGGTACAAGAAGTGGTGAAGAACTGTTCAATTTGCCAGATCTATAAACATGAGAATGTTAGAAACCCGGGGCTACTACAACCTTTACCAGTACCTAAACAAGCTTGACAGCATGTTACCATGGATTTTATTGAAAAACTGCCTAAATCTGGGGGGTATGATGCCATATTGGTAGTAGTTGACAGATATACCAAGTATGCTCATTTTGTACCATTGAGCCATCCATTTACTGCACCAACTATAGCTACAAAATTCTTGAATCAGGTCTGCAAGTTTCATGGATTACCGGAGTCCATTACATCTGATAGAGATAAGGTGTTTACCAATCTCTTTTGGAAGGAGTTGTTTAAATCTTTGGGTGTCCAACATTGTCTAAGTAGTGCTTATCACCCCCAAACTGACGGGCAAACAGAAAGGGTAAATCAATGCTTGGAGAGTTACCTAAGATGTATGAGTGAACGTGAGCTGACTATAGGAGATTGGGTTTATCTTAAACTCAAACCTTACAGACACATGAGTATGAAGAAATCAGCAATGTGGAAATTAAGTCCCGAATATTGTGGACCTTTTCCGGTTATAGAAAGAATTGGCGCTGCAGCCTATAAACTGGATTGACCTAAAGGAAGTAAGATACATCCAGTGTTTCATGTATCCTTACTTAAGAAACATGTGGGGATCAAAGAGAAGATTTCAAGTTCTGTACCAATTATGAACGAAGAAGGGAATACTATGTTGATACCTATGGGCATTCTGGCTAGAAGAATTGTTAAAAGAAAATGCAGTTGTGGTCCAAGTGTTAATCAAATGGGAACATTTGCAACCAGATGAAGCTACATGGGAGGATTACAATGTAGTTATCAAACAGTTTCCTCAACTGGAAGCTTGTGGACAAGCTTCTAAAGAAGGAGAAGGCAATGTCAAGACCAAAGCTTCTGTATTCAAAATATCTACGTGGATAACTAAAAGAGCTGGCAAAGGGATATTAACAAAAAGGGTGGGTTAAACTGTTAGTTGTTAGCATATCGGTTAGCCGGTAGAAGTGGTTAGCCAGTTAGTGGTAAACGTCCATTGTATATAAAGGAACGGATGTACAGTTTCTGGCTATGAAATGTATAATGTTTCTTCCTCTTTTCTATCTTCCTCTCTAATCTCCTTCCACCTTCTCTCGTCTTCGTTGTGATTAGTTTCCAGAGTGAACTATCATAACACATTACATATCCGCAAATAGGACTTGATCCACCTGACAATGATTATGAACTAAATTTTCATATAATCTAAGGAATTGCAGATGCTGAAACCGCAATAGCAAGGGTTTAATATAACTATTATGCTCGATATGAATTTTGTATCGTGCAAGAGTAAATAGAAAGAGAGCAATAGAGGAGAAGAAGAAAAACCTTCTTGCAGATAGAGTAAGCATACTCCCCTTTGTTAAACACGTATCGGATCAATGTAGCTGCGGAAACCATTCTTACAGTCCAGTAGTTCACGGGGGTCGTCCTCGCCGGAGTCGGAGGTTTTTGCTTTCACTGTTCCTATATTTCTAATTGCAATCCCTTAAAGCTGTTGGTCTATGTTTTTGTTCCCTTGAGTTTTGGGAAATACCCAAACAGACCCTTTAGCTTTGTATTGTGATGTGGCCTCTTCAGATCCTCTCAGATAGAAAGAGTACAACTTAGCATTTGATTTGTAGAGTATTGAGAAAGCGTATGAAATAGGAGAACAATTTTCTTCACCCTCTTTTGAGCGGGTGATGTTCACTCCCATCTTATTTGTCAGAAAAATGGAAACTAATAATTCAATCTTTTAGCGGTTTTCTTACAATAGTCTTATCTTCCTTATTAAACATATTACTTTTCAAATTTAAACTATCAACTTTTCATTTTCACTATTTATTTCAGAAAGAGTCTAAATGGAAATCTAATCAAAACCCGACTCTACATCGACCTTCATCTCCAGAAAGCTTCTGCCCATCTTCCTTATTTGTTTATCGATCTCCTCAACAACTTCTCTTCTTTCAGTGACCTCACTTCAACCGCGACACCACGGCACCATGGCTCTCTCGTTCGGTCTTTCTCCAATCTGCATTCGATTGTGGAACAGATGCCAGGCTTATTGATCGACACTTGTCTTGTTCTTCTTCACCATCGCTTAGCTTTGCAAATCTTCAATTGTTCCTTATCAACTGTCCGTTGCTCAACACCTACCTAGTCCTCAATCGGTGTGACACCTCTTACGCCTCGTTGTGTGCCGCAACTAGCCAATTGCCTGGTAGTCTGCCGTGTGCTTCTTACTCCATTACTCGACACTAGAGACTTCAATTCAGGCTTCAATTCAGGTTAGTTTTCTTCTAATTTCACCTTTATTTTTTGTTTATAGATTCTCGATTTCAAGCTCTCAACATTACTTTTTAGTTTTAGCCTTAATTTTTGTTTGCTTATTTTGTATACCAATATACATAGTAATAAAGTTGAGGCTATGAACTACTTTGTAACGATCAGTGCTCATATCCTTTAATCGTAAGGCATTAGTCCTGAAATCTGGATATATGAATGATGATTTCAAAAAAAAAAAGATTATGTTTTAAAGTCAAGCTTTTCATCCGAATTCTGAGATTTTTAACTTGTCATAATTCAATATTTTGTAAATCGCATATGCCTAGGACTGTAGTGTTTTATCTTTGGTTGTTCTATATACCAAATATCAATCAAATGAGATAATTTACACTATCTCATTCTGCAGAAGTTTCTTTCTTAAATGGTTGATTATTTCTTACAGATGTGAATCCTTAACTCAACTCACCTAAATAATTATCTCAATTTAATTTATTCTGCTACATTGGTTGCTTCTTATTTACATTAGGCAAGAAATTAATTATAGTTGGTTTCAGGTTGAATTTTGTTTGTTCATCTTTAAATGTAGATCCTCCCGTCCCCTTTTTTATAACCTAGGTTTTCAGTAAAGTTTGGACAGACTCTAAGAACCTTATTATTAATGCATTTTTTGGAGAACCTGATGTTTTTAGATGCTAAGTTATCTTTATAAGTAGTTCTCATATGTTCAACTAGTTTAACCTACATACAAACAATCTTTTTACTTCTAGAAGGGTGAGACGATGAAACGCTAAAGTTATTGACTAACTCACCTGCGCACTTGTAGAATTCAGATAATGTTTTATTGAAATTGCTCTTCTATATGTCGTAGACAGATATATATATATATATATATATATATATATATATATATATATATATATATATGGGTAATTTAATTATGTGGGTTCATGTGTAGCAGGTGGTTTAACTTTTGAGTGGAAAATGTTGGGGTGAGGTGTGGATTCTAATAGTGTTACTTATTTATTGATGGTAATTTGCCCAATGTAGTAGAAACATTAATATATGCATCTAACTTCACCCAATTTTACCTAGGTTCTCTCTGAAAGTCCACCAAGTTTACTTTACGTTTTGTGGAAATCACATTAATATCATCATAGTTTTTTGAGTATTTTCTGATTGTAAGTCTATTGTATGTTCACAAAATCTGTTTCTGATGAAGATCACTTGAAGGAGAGTGATATAATAGAGATCAACATAATCGTTATTGGCATTTTGTTGGAAGATAGGAGGAAGTTGTAGATTTGAATGGTATAACACACACAAATTTGTTGGGGAGTTGGAAGGAAGATGTCGGTTTGAATGAGACAACTTATACAAATTTGTTGGGGAGTTGGAAGGATGGAGTATATAAGTCTCTGAGGCTGATTAGTGATGTGCCTGTGAATGCAAGCTTGGGTGGGAAATTGGTAGATGCTGTACCTCAAACTTCTACTAAGGGATCAACACGTGACACATTAAGCTCACGTGCATCAACGGGAAGCCATAAAGAAAAGATGTCATGGGCAGATATGCCTCAAGAGGGTGATCTTAACTCAGAGGATAAAACCAAGTCAATTGATTCTGTTTGGATGTTAGGTAATGAGAATACTTTAGCTGTGAATGGAACCGGTGAGAAGGTGTCTATGCCAAAGGTGAAGCTCTCACGGGAGAGGAGGGAACATATGTGTTTTTATAATGTCAAATGGAAATAGGATTCCATATGTTTGGAAAAGGTTAATGGAGAAGTTGTGAATATTATATTGAATTACATATTTGTTGTGATACTCAAATACTCCGTATTATTTTTTTTTTTGCTTTTTGTTGTACCACATGTATTGCGTTTTGTTGCATTGTGTTGTTTTTCGATGCATATTGTAACTTTTTGTTGCACTGTGTTTCTTATGATTGTTACTTTTTATTTTTATTGTTTATTTAGATTTGTATTTATTTTTCTACATCTTTAAAATAGAAATACATATATAGTTTAATTCTAAATCATTTAGATACAAACACTTAAAAGATTAAATTTTGATTTATGAATATGAATGGAAAAACTGAAACGCAAAGAAACAAAAAGAATTATCAACAAAATGAAACAAAAAGAAACCATAAGAAACAAAAACTAACAATAAAATGACAATACTAATAATTAAAATCTTAAGTACTTTAAGAACAATTACATTAGAAAATTTGTACTTCTTACCTTTTTTGAATATGTAAATATTTCTCACGTTCATTATTTTAATTTTGCATATTTTAATTCTTTGAACTTTTTTTTGTGTAATCCCTAAATATACTTGTATTAACTAGGGTGGTGTGAGTAGAGAAAGCGACCAGCCGGCCTCCAGGTCCCCAGGACTCCGGCCTGTCAATTTTCTCCCTAGCGGCTTAGTGTCGCTAGGGTTTTGTCTCCCTAGCGGCTTTGCTGTCGTGTAGGGTTTCCTTCCATCAATTGTTTGTGCGGCTCTTTTTCTCTAGACTTCTAGAGTGCTTTTAATTTAAGTAGGCATGAGTGCGGCTGCAGCTTTTGGAAACGAATCCAAAGTTCAAGAAATGGTAATCATGTCTTTTATGGATGATCTAGATCAGTGTTGTCTCATTCCTGCAATTGAGGAAGTCGAAGGTCTAGTTTCTGGCAAATGAACATGGTTAAAGGGCGGTGGTGGTTGTGGAGGCGAAACGAGCGACAAGAAGACGAGGAGGGTGAAGGACTGAGCAAGGGAGAAGACAGATCGGCGGGTCGTCCCCCTCCTAAACTGCCGCCTTGGAGCGATCGAGGTGCTAGGGTTTGGAAGATTTATCATTTATTTAATTTTTTATAGTTCTATTTTTGCGTTATGTTTTATGTTGCTCTGTTTTTTGTTGATGTCTTTAGTTTTAGGTCTATAATTATGATTGACCATTATACTAAATATTATGTCATGAAAAGGATATATATAGCCAATATTGTTGTGGCACACTCGTTTGGTGGTTAGCGATTCGTATTGCTCTTTCAGGGGTGATCGTCTCTGAGTCTAGCCGCATGGTTGATAGGTTTTTGTCAGGGTTGGTCTTTTTTATAGCCGCATGGTTGATAGGTTTTTGCGTTAAGTGTTCATTTTTTTCATACTCCCTCTGTATTTAATGTTTGTTACACTTCCCTTTTTAGATATATTTAAAACTTTGCTACATTTTCTCATTGTGGTAACTTTTCCATTTAAAAGTACTCAAATAACCTTATTTTTTACTTTTTTATTATGTCTTTCGTACTTTTACAATTTATCTCCTACTTTTTCTACATTATTTATTACCCTACTACTTTCCTCTTTAAATAATGTGTCAAAGCTAATGTAGCAATCTTTAAACTACGGAGGAAGTATTTTTGAGTGACATTTTTATAGATTTATACATTAAACTTCGTGTTAAATAATCTTTAACAAAATGATGAGATATTCAATAAAATCAATGGTTAAATTAGCAACTATAATATTTATGATAAATTATAATACGTATATCTTGAAAGCATAGGTTTTTTAAAATTATGTGTAACTCTTTAAATATTAATCAATGGTAAAATTGCAATAATAAAGTGTATACATTGAATTTTGTGTTAACTTTTTGAACAATTTCACTTGTCTTTTAAAAGGGAAGTTAGTGATGTGTTGGCACATCTATGTAATTTTTCAAGGTATTAACAATTTTGAAGAGATACAGTTCAGAACAAATGTGAGATGATATGTCTTCTTTTGTGTATGCTAAAAATGTATTCAAATGTGAGCTTTGATTGAATTTAGGGAAAATGGAAACTAATAATCCAACATTTTAGCGGTCTTCTTACAATAGTCCCACATTTTTATTATTCAAGAATAATCCAACCTTTGCACCCCATTTTCATTCAATGGTCCCTGACCAATTGATGGTCTGTTATTCTAAGTTATTTTCTTATCTTTGTAACATATTATATCATGAATCCCACCTTATGGTCACGTAATGTTTTGCAAAGCTAAGAATCTAACATTTTAGTAGTCTTCTTTATTCCAGAAGATTCCATATAGTTATCAAACTAAAGTTAATCCAAATCACAAGATTTTCCCAAATTTATGAGAACCTTAAGTCTCAAATGTTAATTATGAGTTCTCGACAATGACTGGACAAAAGATTTATTGTTGCGGAACACGGATAACTTTATAGAAAATATATAAGTAGCTAGGAACAAGAGGTGATGAGATCTTAATTGGGAAATTCCATGATTGTCGAAATAGAAAAATGTCCTTATTCTTATATTAAAAGAGGCAAACTTGTACTCTGTATATAAATGTTAAGAAATGGTTCAAAATTGAATTTCCTCATATATTTGTACTATCTATTACCTTACATTAATCCAAAGATAAAACATGAAATCAGATTTTGTAGAAAAACTACTCCGTTAGGAATTCAGGATTAAAAATGTTGCGCAGTTGCCTCCCCTAAAATCAATGGTGCCTTTAGTTTTATCATGAAAATTGTGATAAATATTATAAAGTTCTTTACACATCGTCTATCCACACCAAGGTAATCATGGTCATTTGAAATCATGTTTATAACATTACCAATTCTTTCTTTTAATTACTGTAATTTTTTTACACCAATAAATAATTCACGGGGGTTTGAACTTCCCAGGAGGAGGGGAAACACATACATACAACGTTTAACGGATCAGGAATCTTTGATCCGTTAACGTAATCATGCCTGAAGAAAAAGTGTTCCCCTCCTTCGACGATGAAGACACCAGCAGTAACAGTAGCATCATCATCGTTAATGACGATCTCGAAGCAAATCAAGAATCGCCCAACATTAAAGAAGAAAGCAATGAGGAAATGAAACTCTCCGTAAAAATGGCATTGCTTGATTTCCGATGTCGTGTGGAAGATGCCATTCTTAGCAACTATCTTGTCTACAACAAGAAGAAAGTCATATTCTCCAAAGAGGATATAGAGAACCAGAGAGACATTTCTCTATGGGGAGTCCCACTATTGTCAAGCAAAGGCCACGAAGGCACTGACGTCATCCTAACGAAGTTTTTGAAATCCAAGGATTACAAGGTGTCTGAGGCATTTAAGGCTTTACGTAAAGCATTGAGGTGGCGAATGAAACATCATGTTGATGACATTTTGGGAGAAAATTTTAGCCCTGAGGTTGAGAACCTTTGGCATGCAAATGGGAAGGACAAGGACGAGAGACCTGTTTGTTACCAAGTTTTGGGGAATTTCAAGAATAAAGAATTGGATAGGGAAATTTGGGGCTCACATGAAGAAAGGCAAGATTTGGTTAGATGGAGGGTTCAATGTTTGGAAAAGGGAATTAGATTGCTTGATTTCAAACCAGGTGGACACAACTCTATAGTTTTGGTGTCTGATTTAAGAAACTCTCCTGGAATTGCCATGAAAGAGATTCGATGGATTACAAAAAGAATGTTACGAATCATTCATGATAATTACCCTGGACTCATCCATAAAAATGTGAGTATATGTTTTTATATGAATTTGATAATTAAGTCACACAACTTATACTTATGTGCATTATTAGTTTTGTAATTTTATTCATTTTAGTCAGCTGAAGGTTCCGTGCTTGGCCTTTTCTTGCGATGTTAATTGGCTGGGATGAAATATTCCAGTATGAGGAGTTGTAAACTCCGATCCAAAAAGTTTTCAATATCAATAAATTAAATAGTTATAGGGCATGATATATACAAGTGAAAAAATAACTAATTATAGACAAAAGCATATATATGTTGGATTAATATATTCCAAGTTATAATATGATATATTGATTGCAGATAATAATAAATGTTCCAGTTTGGTTTTCTACTCTTCATGCGTTGAATCTGCGGGTGATACAACAGAGAAGCAAGAACAAGTTTATATTTGTTCGGCCAACAAGAGTAACAGACACACTCCTCAAGTACCAATGTTTCATAATTAAATTGATTGTTATTCAATTAGTGTTCATCCAGAAAATTCTTGTTTAAATGATCTCTTATTTTAGTCAAAATATGTATATAAACAGGTATATACCGGCTGAAGAGTTGATGGCTCATTATGGTGGCCTAAGAAGAGAAAAGGACATGGAATTTTCCCCAACTGACAAAGTTTTGGAGGCAACTATAAAACCGAACATTAGTACCAATATTAGGATACCTGTCACACAGGTATATTGTTGGAAATGACAACGGAAATATTTTAAATTATTTAGCGTTCGATCTACATTGATGGTTGCCAAATTTCAAAACATCCAGATTGAGGGTTGCCTTAACTTATACTATCGTATAAGTTACTTAAGTTTTAATTGTTTCACATGAATTAAAGGTTTTTAATATCAACTAAATAATTAAGTAACTTCTAAACTAAAGGCTGCCATAAAGAACTTTTTTGTTTCTTAAAATCGAGAACACCATGCATATAAGTGATATAACAATAAACAGATGTCCCTAAATAGAATTAAAATGGTCAAAATGCCATATTAGGTGTGTCTATAGTTTACTCCCATTTTAAAACGGATATACTCCTATTAGTAATTTGATACATTTGTAAAATAGTAGTATCTAACACGATCATGTTTAATTTAGTTCCCATGCTACTGAGATGACATTTATGTACATCGATAATCAAGACGCCATCAAGATGACATTTATTTTGCTATTGGATGACATTATTGCTTGATAATGACAAATTTAATTGATGTTTGTAATTTGAGTTGATAATGATTTATAATGCCATCATGATAACATTGTTGTTTCAGGGTGCCATTCTCACGGGGTTGAAAGTAAAGCATTTTTATTCACTCTATTTACTCTTACCAAATGACACAAAAAATCATCATCATATATATTTTTGCATTTCCAACATGTGTTATTGATAAATGGTCATTTCCTCATAGCATAGTAGACAAGTACACTTTTCATTATACTTTGTGCCATTCGTTTATTTGATGTATAACTTTTTGAGATAACAAATAGATGTTCCATATAAATGTATAAAATTGTGCCTCTAACCTTGTTTAGCTACTCTACCTCTATACATGATGGAATTGGATGGGGTGCAGGGAGAAATGACAGTAACATGGGATTTGATGGTGGTGGGGTACGAGGTGGCGTATAAGGAGGAGTTCATACCGGAAGATGATTGTTCTTATAGTGTTTTGCTTCAATCGGATAAAAAAATGGAAGGTCTAATTAGAAATTCTTTCCATATCAGAGAACCTGGAGAGATTGTGATCACCATTCACAACCACACCTCCAAGAAGAAAATGGCCTTCTATAGGTACCACACCAAGCCCAGTATACCCATTTACATGCTCCAAAATTGCTCCTTTTAATTCAATTAACCCTCTCACCTCCAATTCTTTCTCCCTCACCCTTTCTTCTTTAATTTCATTAATTTCCCCTTGATTTTTCTGGTCGAATTTTTATTTTGTAGCAGAAATATGTAAATATAGATGTATAATATTTCTTGATAGATGTAAAGAAGAATGTACGTGCTTTTAGTTGTATATTTATATTATAGCATGGACTTGGGCACTGTTTCAATTAGACTATGCTTATCAAAAGTGATTTCCTTAGAACTAATTAAAATAAATGGTTCATAATAAAAGTTGATAGTGCATGTTCTACAAAATTAATCCAAATAGAAGAAATTCGAAAAATTCTCATTTAATAAATAAGTTGAAAGGAAATCCTAGCCGGCGAGCTCATGGACAATTTGATCTCCTAGTCTTCTCCTCTTCAATTGGCAAGAGCTTCAAGACTTCAACGATGGTGACGTTCTTTGGGCAGTAATGAATCAAATGTTTTCCTATGTTGCTGTTCCCGATCTTTTTTTACCTTCTAGGTTTTGGTTTTATCTGGCTTCTTTGCCTGAGAAATTTTCCGGCTTCAAGTGAGCGTGAGATATGATCTTCTCCTAATAGATTGAATGGTGATCGAATAAGAAGTTCATAGTTGGCAGCAAGGCTGGTCCAACCTAGTTCTTTTGAGCCTTCAATTACTCTTCATCCTACTGAATCACCGTCTCACTCTGAGAGAATGTTAGCACTCATCCGAATCTTGTTTTCACGGGCTAGTCAAACCGATGATTCAGCTTACTTCTGCTCAGATGAGCTTGTTTTGTTGGTTGTTGGTCAAATCAATTCCTCTTTTACAGTGGCTGGTAAACCTGGTCAAATCAATTCCCCTCTTACAGTGGCTGGTAAACCCATATTTTTTATTTGTATCTCCTCTGTCCCATTATTGAAAGATTCTCACACGGTTTACAATGTTTGACTACTCATAAAGTTAATTGATCCCTATCAATAATGAGATTATTTTTAGTAAATAAAAAATACATATTCATAAACTACATTAAAAGTTGTATGGAGTCGCAATAAAAATCATAAACTATGTGAACCTTTATTTGGGATGGAATGAGTAATTTTTTATTTTTTATTTTTTATTTGGAGTAGCAAGTGCAACAAGGCTATCAGTCTAGACTACATTATTGCGGAATTAGTGATTTGAAAGGATTCCTGAGATCTTTTATGTTATCTATGTCTCTCATTCCATTGTAGCATTGTGGTATTCATGTTTCTTTGCTATCATATAGTGAAAAAAATAGTTATTTGATTTTTTTAAAAAAATAAAAGCAGATAGTGTTTTTAAATACAATTCATTGTAAATAAGAAAGTTAAAGCTGGACTATTTGATGAAAAAGTGAATTCTGATGTAATATTTTCAAGTACAAAAGTACTTTAGCCACCCAATTCAAATTCATTATCTAAAAAAATCAAAGTTCCCGGTCTTAGCTTTCTGGACCCACGGGAGGGGATTCAGGGGAATAAAGGTGCTATTGGAGAAGACAAACAAAAATTGATAATTTGGATGAGGATATTTTTACTTGAATTGTATTCTATCCCAGATCATATATAGAGATCAGATATTTATCAGATAAGACTAGTTCAGACTATACGCGACCAACAAATTTATGTCTAATTAAAACATGACGACTCAAAAGTTTCTTCAAACATTATTGTTGCTAATTAGTTATTCATATTTGAGAAAGTTTCCAAAATAGAAGTGAATAAAATTCAAAATAACAGTATTATACTTTTATCCTAAATAAAGTAGGTTAGTGCAATCTTTAAACCAAAATCATACTGCCAATCTGCCATAGTTTAATATTATCATACATTTATATGACAATATAAATAATGTCATCTATATAATATAATAAATCAAACTCCTAGAGACCTCTTTGGAGAAATTGTTGACATGTGACAACACTCTTTATTGGAAAATTTGACATGTGTCAACACTATAGCAAATACTACTCCCTATTCATATATAACATTATTTAAAGTGCACAACAACACAACATAGACACACACATGTATATAAAACATTTATAATTAAGCATTTGAAAGGGTAAAGAGAAATATATTCAACTTCTAACTATTTATAAATAGACATTCATTATCATTAATTCATTATCTTTAAATTGCTTACAACTATTATGTGAAAAATAATATCATACTCACTCTTTCACATTTTAAGGTTCTCATCTTCCTTTTTTGGAAGTCCCAAATAAAGATTCGCATTCATATGTTAGGAAATAATTAGCACTCTAAAGTGATAATTTAATCATCAAATATTAAAAATAACAAATCAATAACAACACAATGATTATCAATGACTCATTATATCATATTCTTATCAAATTTGTTTTTCATAATATACTTGATTTACCTTATTTAATCATTGTCTAGATAACAGTGTCACCTTGCAATGATAACCTTAGTCGGGACATAGGTAGTGATATAAAAAACACATAAATTAGTTTATGATTCAATAAAAGCAAATGTATAATTTAAAACATTAAATATATCACTAATCTTTTTAGTACTAGATGCGACGAGTCGTGATAAGAATGTTTTATCTGGACCAAAATTTTCTGAACTAGGCAATCTTTGTAAGCAGCCGGGTTTGGCGAATTTAATTCTGGTCTTCTCATGTATGCCTAGTTTGATTTGGTCTTTTAAATTTAATTCGGGACGAGACTATAACAACTTGAAGTGAAAACATTTTAATTGGTGTCATGTTTTTATCTACAAACTCTAAGTGATTATGTTCATAAAAATATACTAAAACCCCCTAGACATTAAAACAATTCTTGCTTCGAGACATACTTCAAAGTGTTGTTAAAATAGTTTTAACATATACATACCTTTTAGATACATCGAAAATGATTAACATTTTCATACTACTATCTACGGAGTAGAAATGAATTAGTTATTAAATATAGGGATAATTTGAGTTTGCACCCCATTTTTTGTCCAAATTGGACTTTCCACCCTGCTTTTTAAAATCTTTGTTTTTTGCACCCTAACCCCATATGAAAAGACAAAAATGTCCTCGATCAAGAATATGCTGATGACCAACAAAATTGTTAATGGAGGGGCATTTTTATCTTTTCAGATGGGGTTAGGGTGCAAAAATAAATTTTTTTAAAAACGGGGTGCAAAGTCCAATTTGCACAATAAAATGGGGGTGAAAACTCAAATTATCCATTAAATATATCATACACCTCCATCCACTTGTAAAATGACCAATACTCCTAATTATAGATAAATAGTAAAGGGTAATATATATGTATGTTGACTTTGGAAACAAAATCAATCTAGTCATTTTAACCAACTATTGGAGGTTATTTTAAAAAAATAAGATGATTGAAAAATTTATAATACTCAATTAAATTTAAAATACATAGAAACGAAAATATAATAAATAGATAAAAATATCAAAATAGATAAATAATTTAAATACCTTCAAAAAAATCAAAAACAAAATACTATGAAAAAAAGGAAATGTTAAAAAATATAAAATCAAATTGTAAAGCTTTTAAAAATGTAGAATATACATATAACTCCAAAGTAAAAAAAAAATAGTTTTTGGCATCCTTAATTTTGTTTACTTTTTTCCAGTTTTGTTCGAGTTTCAACAAATTTCTTAGTTCTTTGTTTCAAAAAATAATCTGCTATAACAGGTCAACAAAACAGATTAAAAGGCAGAACCGGTATATAGCAACACAACTCATTACTCAAGCTTAAATGGCAGAATTGATATAAAAGAATCTAAAAATACTTAATACTTAAACTATAGCAACAAAACTCATCACTTAAGCAATGTGAGTAAAAAAATACTACAAAGACAAACAAATAAATACTGGAGGATCTGTATTATTTTCTTTACGAAGTGTATTTTTTCAATCTGTATTACTCCCTCCGTATCTATTTAGTTGTCCCACTTTTCTTTTTATGACGTATCAAATTAATTGTCTCATTTCCCCTTTTAGAAAGAAACTCACTCAAAAAGCAGCTAGAGTACCGCTACCGGGTACCAAAACCTCTTACTTTTCATATAATCTACAATAATTATCTTAAACTACGTAAAAAAGCAAATGGGTCAATTAAATAGATACGGAGGGAGTATTATATAAGACCACTATGTAATACTAATAATTTTTAAAGAATTGGGGCCCCTTGAAATGGTGGCCATTGACATGTAAAATCGATTTAACCTGCTTAAAAATGCCCCTGTAACGTAGACCATGGTAAAGAAAAACTAAAATGCGTGACATGAAATCGGGACGTTTATCCATTTTGTGTATTTTTCCTTTCTTTTTCTTTAAATTTAACTTTGCATTTTTATATTATTGACGAGATAAATTTAACCAAGACAACTCTTACCGTGCGTTGCACGGTACACATACTAGTAATTGATAATATTTCCGTACATGAGATTATATATTTGTATTTTGGAAAAAACAAATGCGCATAATTTGAAATATCACGTCATTTTTAGTCTAATAGGAGTGTTTTTGTTAATATTTCATAAAAGTCCATGCATTATATTTAAGATCACAAGTAATCTCCAACAGAGATATTTATAACATGCACAATTTAAAGTTATAGTACCAAAGAGAAAAAATGAAAGATGAATATATGCTTATCATGTATGGAGTACTAAAGGCTTACTTTATTTAACTTACAGTCCAGTTCTATTGTTTAATTACACACAAATAATCCTAATCAGAAATAAAAAAGTTTTCTTTGCTTTCAAATTGTATATATAGCGCCTCTCAAATCTCAATAGTGCATGTTGCACATTGGAAATTGTAACTTAATTATGTACATAAGTAATTGTTCATCTTTATGTTACATTCAGGGGGAGACAAGGGAGGATCAACCTTGGCCCTGATCCAGCCCAAATTTAAAAAATTTCTTAATTTTTAGTGTAAAAAAATTTGGGCAAAATATTTTCCAAAAAAAATCTTTGTATCGGTCCAGTCCGGCCCAGTGTCTTGGCTCCGCCCCTGGTTACATTATTAATGAAGGATTAAAGATGAACGTACACGCTACTGCATGGGGATGCATAACTAACATGGATAGTTTGTTATTAGTTATACTAGTACGTACGTATATATAGATTTGTGTATCAGTGTATGTAATTGCATGTTGAAGAATGTGTGTATATAATCATGGATTCGTGTAATCAGGGACGGGTCCAGAATTTCGAGTCAAGGGGGTGAAAATATTCGTTAGTGTAGGAGGTAAAAAATCACTAGTGTACGCGATGATTTTTTGTTTTGCTAGTGTAGCGGGGCGAAATTTTTTAACTAGTGAAAGCCTCTGTGGCTAGATTTATTCAAAAACATTCATTAATACATACACGATGATACTTAAATCTATATATTACATTCTTAGTTTAGACAATGGCAAAATACTTTAATTTTATAATTGGAGTGCTCTAGAAAAAAGTATTGTTACATTAAAGCATAAGAAATGACAAATCAAAGGAAAATAATTTGAAAATAAAAAAGGATATATAACATTTTATTTAAAGATAAAGAGTTTATAAGGTACACATTCACCAATACTTTTAAAATAACTTTAACATTGTTTAACTACATGAATCTTATAGAAATAAAGAATTGGTTTTTGAATTACAATTTTTGTCTACCAAGGAGGGTGCTCATTAGTCGCGAGGGGTTTTCTTAATCTTGCAATAGTATGCATGAGATTATTATTTTTAGAATAATATTATATTGATAATTCATATATAATATATATAGTGCATATTATATTTGCTAAAATAACTAAAGTTTATTATCTATTTAGAACGTAAGAAGTAAATGAATTGTGTAATTTAATTCAACAAACATTTATAAGTTGGATTCACTTCACATGATCTAAAAACCGTGTAACTAGTGTGTCTGGTATTTAATATCGTTTGGTATATATTTTACAACATCGCTTACTAGTTATCTAATAAAGATAATTAAACATTACAAAACTAAGAATTTTTAGATGATAAGTATCCTAAATCTTAAACAATGAATTGTTCTATTATTTATTTATTTAAGTTATGTAAATTATTTTAGATGTTCCTTCTTTTAAATCTCTAATTAAGTATTACATTATGTAAGACTATATATTAATTTTAAAAACTAAAAGTTAAGGGGGCGAATCTAATTAAAGTATGAAAATTTTACGAAAATATCACATATAACGTAGAAAATTTTGAAAATCTAAGGAGCGGTCCCCCCTAAATCCATCCCTGGGTGTAATAAGAACAAGTTGAATGATAGACTTCAATTTGAATTTGGATCCTCTCCAGTGACCGGAGAGTTCCAGTGGGAGAGAGATAGAGAGGAGGGGATTTTAGGTGGGGTATGTAGATGAGTAAGATAGAGAAAAAGGTAGAGAGATAGAAAGAAAAAAAGAAATGTATGGGAAATGGAGAAGAAAAAATGGAGAGGAACTGCACCCCTTCATTTTCTTCTTACTGTGTTCAAATTCTAAAAATTATCTTCCACAATTTTATAGAACAATCAATGCATGTCCACTTGAAACGCATTATCATACTTACATTTATGACTGTATCCGCACCCTTAGGTAATTCTACCCCGTAACCACCTCATTTCCAATGAGTAATTTTTACTCAAATCATAATCGCCCTAACGGATAACGGGTATAATCGCGAGTGACCGCGGATAATTACTTTATTCAATTAGTCATTGATATTTTAATATAAAAATTATATTTTAAAAGGCGGAAAATGGCACTTTAAAGTTTCATATATCTACAAGATGAGAAAGAAGACAATATAAATTAATTTGAACCTAAAAATACTTGATATAAAAACAATTAATCATAAAAAAATCTGATAATAATCAAACAAGACCATTGAGATCTTTATGAAATTTCATTCATACACTATAGTTAGTACATCTATTATTCATATATATATATATATATATATATATATACACACACACACACAATGAAAATAGAAAACATCATCTTTTAGTAGTTGTGGGACAGATAATAGATAAAAATGTAATAAAAATATAACCAAAAATAAACGGGGCGGGTACGGGACATGCATGTATAGAATCGTAACCGCCCTGTTACCCGTAAAACAAAATGGGTATTCACCGCCTCGTACCTGTTACCCGATCAATGCGATTTTTCCCGCTTTAACAAGGACAGTTCGATGCAGGTATCCCTCGGATCGATCTCAATTGTCATCCCTACCTTCATATAATTTCAATTGTCACTTATTATTCCTATTAATAAACCTTGTTCCCAACGTCAAATGAAAACACTGGTGGTATTGCATTTTTATTCCTGGCTGGCTGTGAATTACAAAAAGCAATCATAAAATGTTTTGCTCGTCGTAAGTCTAGCTCGTAAAAATCTATTATACGGAGTAATATTTAATATTTCAAACTTACTGAAATGCATAAATGTTATCTTACCTGTTGGTATTATTATTTTGGTACCAACTTTTAAATGAATCAAATCGGTATCATAACTATACATAAATGTTTCAATTCAGAATATTATTCAAATTTGTGACCAAAAAATCTTATGTGATGACCAAAGTTCAATGTGTAGAGTCCACCCTACACCAGGGAAGTGAATCTTACACATAGAGTTTCGGAGCCACGTATAATTTTTTGACCAGAAATTTAAATAATATTGTGAATTAAAATATTTGTGTATAATTGTGATATTGATTTGATTCGTTTCAAATTTAAGGTATCAAAGGACAACAATACCCATATTCAAATTACTATTTATATATATATTTCACCAACTTAGGGTAGCTCATTATTTGCCGTGTTTAGGAGATCTTGCCAAAAGCTAATGCTTAAATTCATGCCACCGTCTTCATTTTTGGCTGGATTAAGGGACGGCGGCGGTGCCCCATAATTGAAATCAAACACCCCAGCTTCTTCGCCGCCAATTTGTGCGGCCGTGAAGGCGTTTATCATAGAAGCATTATTGTAAACTGGGAAATAGTAATCACTGCCCTCCAGCAATTCCAACGTGTCCAACGGATCGCCTTGTGCGGCGCTGGTGATGTTATTGTTAGGGGCAGGATTGTCATTTGACATCGCGGTAGTCGTCGACGATGAATTGGCATGAAAGTTGGCGGCGGCAGGATAGGGGCCGGGCGGAGCAGCAAAGCCGATGAAGGAGGCGGCTCCGTTGCTTTCGTCAATTCCTGAGCCAACTTCCTTGGAAGGACCATCGTACCCTTTGTCTAATCTCTTCTTCAGACGAGTGTTCCATATGTTTTTAATCTCGTTATCTGTTCGTCCGGGCAATCTTGCAGCAATTGCCGACCATCTACATGGGAACAAATTGGAAAAAAGGGGAAAAGGACAAGTAGGTCCGGTTATTACGAAAATATCATTCAATTAAGAGCATCTCCAATGCTACAATATGCACGGTGCACATGTGGCATGAGAGATAGACACAAAAGATTGATTTTATGACATTTCTTTCTCCGTCTTTCAACGGTCTTATGTGTTTTTGGTAAATTTTTTCCTGCAATGTCACGTCTACATCTAGATATTGTGTTTGACATTGAAGAAAAACTTACCAAAATGATATAAGACCCTTCAAATAAGGAGAGAGATATTCTATTTATTATTTTTTCATTGGCTATCTCTCATGCCACGTATGCACCGTTAACGTTTTAGCATTGAAGATGCTCTAAGGATGTTTTTAGTGTTCACGCACCCTTAAAAACGAGGAAAATTATCTTTTTAGCAGGTATCCTTCCGGTAATCGATTAAATTGCATGTGTGGCATATGACGTAGCCTAATTTTTCATTTCTCATTTTTGTATTCTTCGGATTTTTCTTTTTCTTTGTCTTTTTCTTTTTCCTTCTTTCTTTCCCATTCCCCTTCTTCCTCTGCAACTTGTTCCTTCCTTCTTTTTTTTTTCTTTTTCCTCATAATTCTCTCTCCAAGATTTCCGCTAGCAAGGAGTTGTCTTCCTTGCGCTCACCTAGTTCGTCACCGTAACTCTATGTCCATATATAATGGAGTTAACCTTGTTGTTTATAATTTCATCATGTTTATTATAGTTTATTTTGAGTCATAGGTGCATATTAGACTAAAGTGTGAGTGCACGGCGAGATGAGTCATGCCAAGTAGTGTACGTCACGTGGCACTGTGCATGTGTTGTAGCGGCACTGATTTGTGTATGTGTCGTTGCATTAATGTTAGTCTAATTTGCATTGGTGTTATTTAAGTTATTTGCATGCATGTACGTAGCAGGTGAGCGGGTCTCATTATCATGGGTGTAACTACATACGTACATGGGCACTTAGTTACTTAGTTAGTGGCGTGCGTGTGTGTAGTGCTAGGTTGTGTGACTTTAGTTATTTAAGCTTGTAATCATTAGTTTCTTTTATGAGATGAGAAAAGAAAACTATTATGCTTTGAGCAACAAAAAAGGCTACGTATGAATTTTTTCTCTTAAACTTTAACTACATTAAGCTACGCATGCATTTTTTCTCCTAAGCAATTACTACATTTGGTATCAGAGCCATGGTCGGTGAAAGTTCGCGTACTCCGTCACGCTCTCCAGTACGTCGTGGATGGAGCACGACGCGGCGAGGCAGCCTCGAGGTGGTGGTGCAGCAGCACGTCGTCCACCAGGCCAGCAGCACCGTCATTTACCCGACGTTGACGGCGACGAACTACTTCTAGTGGGAGCTCATCATGAAGGTGAACATGGAGGCCCAAAGTGTGTGGGACGCCATCGAGGGTGGCGGGAGCTGCACCGAGGATAGGATGGCGCTTGTGGCAATTCTGCGAGCCGTGCCACCGGAGATGCAATCCCCACTTGCCGTGAAGGCGATGACAAAGGAGGCATGGGACGCCATCAAGTCCATGTGTGTGGGCGATGAGCGTGTCAGTGAGGCCAAGGCACAAACTCTACTCAAGGAATTTGATGTCGTCCGCATGCAGAGCGACGAGACGATCGACGAGCTTGCCATGCGCATGAACGAGCTCGGCGTCAAGATTCGCACCCTCGGTGAGACCCTCGAGGAGGTGAAGATCGTGAAGAAGTTACTCTGCATCGTGCCATCCAAGTACACCCAGGTAACTATTGCAATTGAGCAGCTTCTTGATCTTAAAACCATGTCCATGGAGGAGCTTGTGGGAAGGCTCAAAGCGATGGAGGATAGGAGCGATGCGGACGACGACATCGACAACGACGACCATGGCGGTGGAGGTCGCTTGCTCCTCACAGAGGAGGAGTGACTTTGTGACACTTCAAAAATTTAAATAAAAATAAAAATAATTTTTAATCAGATAAAATATTACGAAAATAACATTTTAATTATTAATTGAGTCAGAAAAAAATTCAACAGTTGTAACATTCTAATCAGATAAAAATTTCCAAGTTTACGACTTTTTAATCAGATAAAAATGGCCCGATAATAGAAGTTATGTTTTAGTATAAAATTAATTTTTATATAACTATTTTAGGTTGTATAATATACAAAGTATAAACTAAATAATTAAAATACTCATAATACATACATACATATATATATATATATATATATATATATATATATATATATATATATATATATATATATATACGTACATAATAATAATAATAGTAACCTACGTAGTAATATAACTAAATAAACTATACCTACGTACTACTATATACAATGCTCCGTAATAGAATACGGTTACGTATTAACCAAGAAGTAAACCAAAATACTACTCCTAAACAAACTAAACAACGAACGAACGAAGCCAGAAGCTCTCAACCGGGAGGAGTCCGGCAACTTCAAAAAACGAAGCTGATTAAACTCCAACTCCAACTCTAACATCTCAGCCTAAAACCCTCACCTTCCCCTATAAATAATAGGTCAGAGCTTGCGTTTTCTTCATCCCAAAACCTGATACATATATACACATATACGTATATATATATATAAAATTTCGACCCAGCGTTTTAGCTTGAAACAAGCCCTGAAAACACCCCTCAAACCTTCCCCTTCGTGATACGAATCCAACGGAAAAAGAATCGTGGAAAACGGACGTCGGAGTAGGGAGAAATAGCTCGCCGGAGTTTCGCCAAGGAAAATCTTTTCGACGGAAAACGGAGAAGAGGGAGGAGCTGCCGCCGCCGCCAACCCACCACCGACATTCGCCGTCTCAAACGGAGCCAATAGCCGGCCGTTTCGCTCGTCCGACGAGGTAACACCTCCCCTCCCTGTTTTTCCCGTTTTTCCGGTGAAGTAGCGAGGAAGAAGACGTTGGTCTGTCCTTTGGGCCTTTTTCAGGATTGGGCCAGAAAATAAAATTTGGGCCAGTTCGGCCCAGTTTCAATAAAAATTAAAAATAAAATAGTAAATGAAATAAATAAAATCTGGAAAAATATAAATTAAATACCTAGTATAAATATACATATTCGGACCAACCAGAATTGGAAAATAATATTTTTAGCTATTTTTAATTGATTTAATGGTAATTGGGCCAATTTATACACATTTAGTAAATAATTAACTAAATAACGAAAATAATTATGAAATAAATATTGGAGTAAACTAGGATAAATATAGGACTAACTAGGACCTTATGGACCATTTATAATTAATAAATATTAAGATTTAGTATATTTAATTGTAATTGAACCGGTTAATAGATATATGAAGCTAAAGGAATAATTATGGAAGATAATTATAAAATAGATATCTGGACAACCTAGGTCAAATATAGACCCAAAATATAGTTATAGACGGTTTTTAAAGTCGATTCTTAGTCTATTTATTTAAATTAGGCCATATAAAACTAGTTAAGTAATTAAATAAGGAAATATTAATATTAATAGTGATTATTGAATAAAAAATTGGATGTTGTAGTCAATTATATTCGGATATTTTATTTCAAATATTTAAAATTAATGGATGAAATTAATAAGGTAATTTTATTAATAGAACGTGAGTAATCAAATAAATTCGGATAACTAATAAATTAAGTTAATAAATTCAAATAATAAAATAAAAAGAGAAAATCGGGTAAAGTAATTACAAATTGGTATCAGAGACTTAAGTTTTCCGAAGGGAATAGAACACGAGGTAATAGGTCGTAGGGAGAAATTCTGTCACAAAGACGATAACAGTCTAAGCTGGTTGGTGCATAATTGAGCCTTGCGCTCGTCCAACTAACTGGGAATTTCTCCTTGTGCTGAAACTTCGTTGTTCGAAATCTTTGACGAAAACTATAGTTTCGATGCGAGGATTTTCAAAATGTTTTTGTAAAATTAGGAGAATTAACATACTAGGAAAAAGACCTTTTAGGACGCGGTGAGAGGGAGAAACCTTTGCGAAATTATTGAGTTATGAAATGCATGAAATTCGTGCTTATGTGAAGTATGTGGAGTAAGTAAGATCCTTTGTAGGTGTTTATCTGTTTGAAGATAGTAGAGAACTTGTATAACGTAGAAGCCTTATGCATGCCTTAGAACTTAGTACACGTTTTCTTTATTAAGAGTCATGCCGCCGAGAAGAGACATCCATGCATGCGACCCTAACTATTGACGAGCTGGCCCAAACTGTCCAGCGAATGGCGCAGCTCATCGGAGCAGCTCAACCCCAAAACCCTGGGATCGACTACGCAACAAAGGTAGCCGGACGGAACCCTCCAAAATACTTGGGCGAGGAGGACCACCTTATCTTGGAGGACTGGATCCGCACTTTCGACAAACTCTTTGATTCACTGAATTGCCCGTCGGAGCAACGGGTGAATATCGCGGTGTATTATCTGCACCAAGAAGCGGACCACTGGTGGGCCGCCAACGGACCAACACTTCTCGGGCAACCGGGTTTCGGTTGGGAGAACTTCATAGTAGCGTTGCGGGATCGCTTCTACCCAGATCACGTGAAGGAAGCAAATTATGAAGAATTTGTCAACTTTAAACAAGGTGACCTGACTGTTCAGGAGTACCACACGAAATTCGTTCAACTGGCACGTTTTGCCAAGGACCTGGTGTCGACAGAGGCCAGTATGACCCGCAGGTTTGTTAACGGGCTTAACTTCGGGGCCCAAAAGTTCGTGACGGTAGCAGAGCCGCGGAATTTGAATGAGGCTTATAGAAAGGCTGGTAAGTACTACCTGGTACATCAGAAGGAAAGGGAGGCACACAAAAGAGACCGAAAGAATGCGGAAGTGGAGCAGCAACAGAAGAAGCCCGAGATTGATCGCCCTGAGCAGCGCCAGAACAACCAAGGCGGAGGAAGATTCCAAGGTCAAAATCAGAGGAGGGATCGTGAGAGGCACTATTACTGCAAGCGTTGTAATAGAGATCA